TTATTGTTTGAATTGTTTCACTGCAATATTCACGACGGGACGATAATTTAACAGTAATGTCATTGTTGTAATTCAAATAGTGATAACTCTGGTGATTAAAACATCACTTTATGAGAGCAGGAAAGCAATAACAGCCATTCTGTAAACTATTTCAGCCTATTGTGATTTCGCAACGTTCCGGAACACATAGATGCAAATAGCAAATCAAGATGGATAAATCTTCATCATAACGTCATTTGATTCAATCTGGAAATCAGCCCATCAACATTTCACTATATCTGCCCTATAAAAAATGTATCTCGCAGGATCCTTCCAAAGAGTGTAGGCACTTCAAAAAGCAGATGCCCTATGTCCATTCAGGCGCACATATTGAAGACATTTCCTAAGTACCGAATGTTTGAAGACAGTAGTAAAATTATGAAAGAGTTTACTTGATAGCTTCAATAAGTTTGTGAGAGCAAAATGCATTATTGAAAATATTGTTTCGTCGAACATTTCATAAACTTTTTTAGCCTATTGTCACAAATTCGCGACGTACCGAATTTCAGCTCATGGGTCCAAATGAGGCACTCAGAATGAGTAAGTTGTAATCAGAACGTCATGCAAGTCCACCCGGAAATTAACCTGCAACTGTCGGCTCATCAATATAAAAACGTGTTGCACACGCTCCTTCCAACAACTGTAGGCGCTACAAAAGCTTGTGCGGCTATGTCCATTCAGGTGCACACATTAGAATTACCGTCACTTCCGATATTGAATGTTTTAAATACAATAAAATTTCGGACTAGTAAGAACACCGTATTGCGCACGGTCCTTCTGAAGAGTATGGGCGTTTCAAAAAGCTCGTGCGGCTGTGTACATTCAGGTGCACAAGTTTGAAACACCGTCATTCAAATATTTAATGTTTCGCAGACGATCATACTAGCTCACTTGAAAGTTTCAGTATGTTCATAGTCGTTCATGCCGTGCGCCACAAGCCGTTTCATGCTCGTTAACGAACCTAAGGAGTGTATTGTTTGTTGTTCTTCCTCTATTATGGTGCTTTATTACTTGCACTTATACTTATTACTGTATTTTTTTACTTTAGTTATTTTTATTGTTTGTGCATTTTTTCCCTTGTTCTGTTTGAAGCATTAGCGCGATGCCTTTTCAGAGGGGGCAATGTAATGCTACCTAAAACATATTTTCAGGCCTACATCACGCTTGCTTTGGCCGAGCGAGCGTGCGTACGGAGGCGGTGAATCTATTGCCACAATCGTCTCCCGTTAAAGGATAAAACGTTCGCGGCAAGTTTTACTTGCTTAGCGTCTTTATTCTGCTTTTGGCGCCAAAAAAAGAGGGGGGGGGGCGCTGGTTTGAGTAATGTATTACGCTTGAAAGTGTTTGGGGATTGAACCATTTCTTATAAGAAAAAGTCAAAGAATGTGCGCTATCGAACGTGTATTCGATCTATAAGAGCAAATTTTGTTGGACCACCAAAGTGACGAAATATTGAAGATAAATCTTATTCATTCTTTATTTTGTTACAAACACACACAAACACACACACTAGCTAGAACTTGCAGAGAAACTGTTCGTATACACATTTGCCGAGTATCTGCCGTTTTGTTTGTACTCTTTCGAGCATCTGTCTTCATAGACCCGTAGTTATTGAGAGTTTGTGCGGCTGCCACTACTATATGTTATTCAGCACGACATCAGGGCGATGACCATTGCAACAGAAAGCAAAATATTTCGTTTCACAAGTATCTCTTGTGACCGACACAAGGATTGGCGCTTCCTCTTTTTCTCTGGCCCCTCTTACGGTGGTGCGAAGTCGCTTATATAACTTAGGGTTTGGGAAAAATGTTGGTACTGGGTCTAGGTTGAACTTTGCAGCCCCCGTGGGCACTTCTACTGCTCTGCCGGTTCTTCTGTCGGTATATTTGGTAGTGGTTCTTAAATATTCTAGCCGGAAGTAGAGCTTTCACCCCTTTAAAAGGCACTTTACCGTAAGTGTCTACACATATCTATATACATTTCAAGAAAACATATTAGGCTAAGGTGATGGCAAAGCTGGCGCAAAATTATAAAACCGCAATATAGTGGTTGGAACACCGGCAAGAAAATACTATGCACTAAACCGATACACTAAGTAATGCAACAGCACTCTTTCCTTTTTCCTACTCAAGTAAACAGACGTAATACAAGAATTCTGCTGCGCTAATCGCCTATAGCCAAATGTTTACCGACCCTGAAGGAAAAACAACTGTTCTTAAAATGTACCGCCACGCGCGTTTATTGCTTCACTGTCAGGCCTAACGCCAACAAGTCCAAAGCAAACACGACACCTTTACTTTAGATCAAGAACGGAACATGCTGGAGATGGTGTCATTGAAACGACTTAGAAATATGTAGTACGGACGCGCGTACCTTCGGGTCACAAAGAAAACGGATTTCGGCGTGACATTGACGAACGACACTCTTCGATTTCGTGCTTCGGTTGCCCTTAGGAAACGAGAACACTCACAACTTCAGTCCCTTTGCTGCGACAATTTGCCACGCAGCATTGCCAAACCGCTCGGATTCGCAGCCGTACAGATTGCGAATATCCAGTGCACAAAGCGCATCGCACATCCACGCTGCAGCTAACGGACACAGAAAAACACGACCCTCCCGAGTCGCCAACAGGCACACCAGCACGCCACGAAAACGTTCGTCAGGTTTGGCAATCCAAGTCTCTCGAGCGACGAGAGCAAGCGTAGATACGTCCGTGCAGCGAAGCACACCAGTCTAAATGAAGTGACGTCAGAACCCGCGGCAAAAACAGTGAGCAGGCCTGAAATTATCTAGGTGGCATTTGGCAACGCCACATTTCTTTATAAGTTGTGTTATCACACCGTTGCACTGCCAGTGATTCTCAGCGAAAACCACGCCTGCAGCGTTCGAGAAGTTTCAGGAATGTAGCAGATTGTTTTGTTAAGATTACGCCCACTTCAAAAACATCGCTGATTATTCTGGAACCTACGTGGCCGCCAGCGATAACGCTAGATTATTCGACGGCACGTGTATAAACGCCGACGTGCTTACGCTGGTCAGTTGCTCGATAGCCGACGATGTTCGTCGTTATCAGTGCCGCTGTGTTACTGTAATCTGACTTTCCGTTTATCAGCCACAAGTTCGGTCTAATAAACATTTTTCATCTGAACATCCAGCCTGCTACCGTCGTGCACGCCACGACCCTGTGACAAATAGCAAGTGGTGAAAAAAGAGAAGCAAGGGTCACGAGTGACGTGAAGGTGCGAATGGAAAGAAGGAAGCGAGGGCACTACTTAAACACTAATGAGTTTTCTTTCCATTCATAAACGACGAGCAGGATTCATGGTTGCAACGCCAGCACGCTCTTGTCCGTGGGCGTCAGCGTCGCCGAAGTGCACGCGTATGACTGCTTCGCACTTACTACGGCTTTCGTGTTGATGGCAGCTGCAGACTTCTTGTTAGCGTTTCACTTTTAAATTAAATAGTTACTCAACTAATCAAGCCCCTCGGGCAGCCGAAAGCAGTCCTATTCGACTGAGCAGACATGATCCACACAACAGTTAAGTTGCGAAATGAGTCGGTTGGTACGATGTCGTAGTGCCTTCATGAAATGAAACACGTGAGCCCATGGCCTGCACTCTGCGGCGGCTGCCTAAAGAGTCATCAAGGAAGAAACCATGTCCGATTTTGGCGTCATCTATAGGCAAATAAGATGGCGAGTCATGGCCGTTGGTCAAGCGCTGCTAGATTAATTATACGCTCCCTCACTACGGGAGGTACAGCCAAAAGCGGGCGTGCTTTCTTTTAGCTATCGGCTTTTGCTGTTGTGGGCAGCAGCAAGAGCCGTGCGCTCGCATGTTGTCTTTCGCAAAGAACGGCAGTGAACATATTTTTGAAGGTTTGAACTAGTCAAAAGACAGTATACACGAGTGGCACACACGACTGGACTGCGTATGTGTGTATTGCATGCCAGTTGTGTGTGCCGCTTTCCTCGTCCGTGTTTTGTCTTTTGGCTGCTTCAAATCCTCATGGCTCAGATACTTGTAGCTCGATCCTATGTGAAGCTGGAGCTAAGCCTGTTTGGCAGGTTCGTATCCCGGCTGCGGCGGCTGCATTTCCGATGGAGGCAGAAATGTTGTAGGCCCGTGTACTCAGATTTGTGTGCACGTTAAAGAACCCCAGGGGGTCGAACTTTCCAGAGCCCTCCACTACGGCGTCGCTCATAATCATATGGTGGTTTTAGGACGTTAAACCCCACAAATCAATCAATTAATAAGCCTGTTTGGCATACCGAATGGCACGCAATCTTGCAACAGATCACTGGCTTATCAACAGACCATTCAATGCATTATTTTTTATTATCATTATTATGGCATTACAAGCCCACTCAAACTGAGAAGGGCACCTTGTAGTCTCACGTTGTCGCTTCAAGATATTTCCGGCCGATTTAGCACATTTCGAACGCACTGCCGGCGAATGCACCAGAGCGGACGAGCACTACACACCAGTAGAAATCTTGATGCTCTAAAGCTTGATGAATTATGTCCTACTGTCATTTCTTTCTTCTGACGTCGTACGAAATTCTATCCCCGCCACAGCATGTGCATTGTGCAGTCAAAGCAGGCACACACTATGCAAAAATATAATAATATGCATCAAGTACAATACCTCTATACGGCAGAGTTGCTTCATCTTGACAGTGTTCTCAAAACAGCAGACAATAGGGTTTCAAGAACGCAAACAAGACAGGCTCTGTCTTGTTTTTGTGTTCTCTGTAGTCCTTCGTGTCGTTTGAGGAACGCTGCAAACACACTGTAAGTGCTCATCGTCTTTTTATTAAATCCAGAGGCAATTAAATTTTAGACAACATAAAGAGCCTTCAAATGGTATAAAGGAGACTCCGATCGAAATTTGGCGTTTAAAATAACAGTGTATGTGTTAAGAAGAGCCAGAAAAGCGCATACTTTCTAACGGCGCAGAGAAACAGTAGCACCACTACCGGTCCCGATGAGTGAGTATGATGAAGGCATTCTCTATAAAATGCAGATCTCATTGTCATAAATTCCGAGACAAGAAGAGGTAGTCTCCTCACATCTTGAAGACAAGGTGCTCGGCCATAAGTGAAGCGACACCCAGGTGCACGCATTTGTCTAGGTGCTGTTTAGAGGCTCCTCAAATTACGAAATGCAAGTACTGCCACCCCTGCAGCTTCATCATTAAAAATTCAATGAAACACTTCATTAACAAGCTTAAGCAGAGAAACTACATCGCAGTTCGCTAGGAGCCTGAGTACGCCAGTTCTTCCTGACAAAATGTAATAGAGCACGTGTCACTCTACCATGTGGCACTGCTGCCTAGTTTATGACCTTCTTGCAGCGTGCCTGATAGACGCCTGCTGGAAAGCTTGTCGGGAGGCAGAACCCGATAAAAAGGTGCTCAACGTCTCATGCAAGGCATCCGACATGTGCACATGCTCGTACGAAGATGGTAAGAAGATCCAAAGATATAGTAGATTATATGAGAATGCAAAAATAAAAGCCCATTTTATATTTAACTAAGTTGCACCGCACATACGCTATAGTAACTAGGAAGAATTGTACTATAAAAAATTCATATACTATATTCGAAAACTTCGTGCACAATGGGTATTAACAAATGAAAAACAAAGCGTTGATTTATAGAATTGACAATTTTGCTAACTAATCTTCGCATCAGGAGCATCAGCAAGTGGAATCCATTCCGCTCATAATGAAAACCACCGAAGTCGACCAGGTTGATAGCGCTGTGCCCGTATATTGCACGGTTCCCCCATAATGTTCATGAACTAAGGAGCCCACCCAGACGCCCTGTGCATTCAACTTCAATTTCACAAAACTGCTTACACGAACTTTACTGTTGCCGCTGTTTCACCCATAGATAACAGGTGTTAGTGAATCCAGCATTTAAAATCATTCTTAGTATACTTGGCTGCCTTCACCATGCACTTGTCATATCAGTCTGTCAATTAGAGGAGCCAACTTTAGAGTTAAGCACAAATGAAGCTGTCAAGTTGTCGAGGCAAGTTACCCGAGGAACCAGATGTGTAAGGTACTTTAAGCTTGTGGTTGTTGCTTTTTTTTGGCAAATAAGATGGCACTCAAGATGCAAGCACTGTTTGTCATTCATAAAGCTAAGTCTAAATAAATCAAATAAATGTTTAATACAAGTCACCTGTTGTAATGTTCTTTGGTGTCTGGCCGCAATATTTCCAAGACTTCTGCCAGGTAAGCTAACGAACAGCTGGGAATATTAAAACGGTAACGAGGTTGCACGAATAAAAGCTGCACAACTGGAAGAATCTGGAAGAATAACTTTCAGTTACTATTGACTATACGTCCCTAATTCGAGTGTAATTTTAGACTGCGAGTCCCCGCTACAAGTAATCAGTCCATGCATCATCGTACTGGCATATGTGGAGAAAAGAAGAGGCAGCAATCCTAATGTCATTTCATCCCGTTTCAGAGTGCGTAGATTTGAAATGTCAGGACTACTGCAAAGTGGCAGTTCCACATGCGGACTTCAAAAAGGCGACCTGCAGGGACAATATGTGCCACTGTGTTGCGCCACCAATGCGCCCGCCAGATACGTACTAACAGCTCCGAGTAATGTGAGGCTCATAATTTACAACCCTCAGTCCTGCCCGATTACTAAAAAAAATGCTGCATGCGTAGATCTCCCCTTGGGGAGAACCGGAGTAAGTGCGTCGCAAAGTGGGGGGGGGGGGGGTATCACACGAGTGTTGCACAATTAGGTATGGTTTGGGAATGCTTGTCATTTCGTCCTTATTGTTCTTGTTGAATAAAGGATAACCGCTGCCTCCAACGAGTGGTGGGACGCTGGTGTTAGGTGTTGCCCCACTTCTGATTGAAGGTACTGTTGCTTCCATCAAGCAAACCTTCATGTGAAGCGAAAGCCAAGATGCCCTTGACTGAATTCTGAATGCACGACCCAGTGTACATATAGGGGGTGGTCAGTGAATGGTTGTGAAGTGTGAGAAGTCTGTGTTTTTTTTCACTAGCAGACGCTCCCTGCATCGGCCTTGCGAGGCGAGAGAGAGGGAGGGGAGCAACAGTTGGCACGCGACATGAGCATGCGCAGTGGGGGTGTGGATGGCACCGCCGGATCCGCGACTTCGTGCGTATTAAGAAATGCACGGCATTTAAAAGCTTAGAAACACTTGAGCTTCACCCTAAAGAGTAGAGTGCACCTCGTACGCATCCGCTCATTCGCTAGACTGGCTTCGCTTATCGCTACACACCTCAATAATATCTGGGCTTTTACACCCCTATACCACAATATGATCATGAGGGTCGCCGTAGTTGAGAGCTCCGGAAATTTTGACCATCTGGTATTTTTAACGCCCCCGGTCAAAAACAGTGTCATTTATCATAAATAACTGACCACATAAACTTCTCAGGGGTTATAGCTAGAGTCCTTGTGCTGGCATGCAAAATATATTGTTTTTTAAGTGGGTATGATGACATAAAACAACATCCGAAGTATTTTTGAAGCACTCGCAGCCTTTGCTGTACCCAGTATGTTGACTAAGAAAACGTGTTAGGTAAGCGGCGCCAACTGGTAATCCAGCTAGTTTCAACTCTGGCATTCAGTTTAATAGACTGGTTACTGCAGGTCAACTGGTTACAGCTGGGGGCCAATTCTGGGAACAGTTGGCCCCATGCAGTTGCAAGTGGTTACAGTAAGCAGCTAATCCTAGTTACAACTCAACTGGCCACCTACAGGGACCACTAGCTACCAGATAAACTAGAAGCAAGTGGTCCCTTTTACATTCTAACTGGAAGGGTGACCTGTTGTTCTGCTTGAATAGCAGGTCGCCCTTCGGTTGAACAACTGAAAAAATAGTCCCACTCTTGCTTTCGGCAGCGTCCTCCGAAGGCGGGGTCACCAGCCACCCGGCTCATGAGCTTAGCCAGGAGAGCGCGCCCTTTGGTACGGGCTTGTGTGCATCCGCCTTTGAGGCCGAAATGTTGCTGACTTCTATTATTGTATGCGACTATAGACGCTAAACTGGCACCATGTCACAGTGACTGGTGCCTGCTCAGCATGTATAAATATTTCACCTAGCAAGAACCAAATCTGTTTACACTTAGCTACTTCTTTCCTTCTAGTAAAGAAACGTGGGTGCACACAAAAGGCTTGCCTGAAGGCCTGCCAGGCTGCAAAACCCAACAAGAAAGTCCTGAAGGCATCGTGCCCCGAGGCCGACATGTGCCGCTGCTCGTACGAAGACGGTGAGAGTAACGATTTGCCCGAAATGCACATGACACATCTCGCTTTGCACTCGCAGTCGTCAATTTGGTTTTTGACTCGATCGATTACGCTCAAAACGTGCTTGCATAGTGTACTTGTATTTTAAACATCTACGGTAAGTGTACGCTATCATGCAGGAGGAATTCACGTGACGTCATCCGCAAGGGGTGCTAGTGCGGAAGTCGCCATACTTGTGGTATCACACATGAAAGTCATCGTCGGACCACAACCAAAGTTCTCGGCAGCACATATTTGGTATGCTGATTAAGAAAACGTGTTAGGTGAAGCGGTGCCAAACATCCGGCTGTAATATGCCGCATTGCTGACGAACTAGGGCAATGGCGGCACACTCACTGGCACCTCCTGGCGGGAGGAGCTTAGTGAATACCTTCGAAGTGTCTAGACTGAGCCGTCGCCTCTACACTAGTCGTTTCTGCCGCGATCTCAAACACTGTGTCCTAGTCATTGATTTCTGTACAAACGTTTCTAAGGAACCGTGATGTTGAAATCGTTTTTGAACAATGGTAATGATGGTCCTGGTGTCTAATCTTCATTGTTTAAAAACCTTCGACGTCATTTGTTAGGCTCATCTTCTGCATTTCCAAGCACTCATTGTTTTCCAACACAGCGCTGCAAGGACTGAGTCACTAAAAACAAATGTAACAATTTCAATTTGCCACATTTAGGGCACAAATTGCAGAAAAAGGAAAGTTGCTTGATAAAAAAAGTTCAACGCTGAAATATTCCATCTACTAACTACCACAATTCTTAGTCCTCCTGCTGCAGTAAACGTCTGCAAGAAATCGCTACTAGTTGACAACTGTCTATATATATATATATATATATATATATATATATATATATATATATATATATATATATATATATATATATATATATTGTGAAGAAGAAGATGTGCCTGCAGCGAGCAGCATCGCCAACGCCCGGCTCTCTCGGCTCGTGCTTCGGTTCGTTGCTGTGCCGATCGCTGGACGGTTCATCACGCTGTCTCGTCGCTGCCTTTAACGGCTAATAAACCTCTTCACATTTGGTGGAGGTGCTGTTAATCCCCGTTGCTACACCCTGGAGCTGCGAAGCCGCACGCTACCACCTGTCATGACTACCAACGCCACTACATCGACGCCTTCGCTCCAGTTCAACTACCCTGGCCATCCCAGGCTACGGGAGCCGAAGGTCTTCAGCGGTGCGGATGGGACCGACGTAGAAGACTGGCTCGAGCACTACGAACTGGTGAGCGCCAACAATAAGTGGGATGAAGCCGACAAGCTGGGCCACGTGATATTTTATCTCACTGGCGTCGCCGAATTGTGGTTTAATAACCACAAACACAACATCCCCACATGGAGCGTCTTCAAGACGTCATGTGCTGAAGTGTTCGGTCGGCCGGTTGTCCGCAAGCAGAGGGCAGAACAGCGCTTGCGCGTCCGCTCTCAGCAGACTGGCGAGACCTTTACCAGCTATATTGAGGACGTCGTCGACCTTTGCCGACGTGTGAATGACACCATGCCCGAATCTGACAAGGTTAAAAACATCCTGAAGGGCATCGACGACGGCGCATTTCATATGCTCTTGGCAAGGAATCCGAGCACAGTTTCCGAAGTCGTCAGCTTGTGTCAGAGCTACGACGAGTTGAACAAGCAACGCACTCTGACTCGGCAGCCTCAGCATGGTGGTCAGTCACTGTGCAGTTTCGACACCCTGCCGGACAATTCACCGCTGCTTCAGCAAGTTCGAGCCTTCGTCCGTGAGGAAGTCGCCCGCCAACTTTCCCTAGTGCCCTTCACTCACGAGACCACCACCCGTCTACCTGCCCCGCTTCGCACTGCTATTTCGGAAGAGGTTGCCCAAGCTGTTCCTGTTGCGCACCACGAGCCGCCTCTATCCAGCCTTGCCCACTGCCAGAGTGCCGCGCAGCTGGTAGGCCCTCCTGTCGCCTATCCGCCAGCCGTGCAGCCTGTGGCCGCGCCCCTAACGTATGCAGCGCAGCCTGTGGGTCCTCCTGTCGCCTGCTCGCAAGTGATGCAGCCTGTAGCAGCGCCGTTCACATATGCAGACGCTGTGCGTAGGCTTCCGCAACCACCCTATACCTCGCGCCCACAGCCCGCACACCCGGCTGCTTATACTGCACCTTGCTTATACCTCCACCAGTAGCCAATTCTTGGAGGACGCGCGATAACCGACCGATATGCTACGCCTGCTTTACTCCCGGACACGTTGCCCGCTACTGCCGCCGTCGACCTCAGACGTTCGGCGACTATGTCCGATCGTCGCAACCCGGCAGCCAACCCTTCGCGCAATACGGGCCGGTCTCGTCCCCTCGCTATGCCCCTCCTAACGACCCCGACTTCGTGACGCCGCGCGCACCCTCTCCTCGTCGGCGATCGCCCTCCCCAATGCGTCGCCGGCCCAGACCTTCTGACCAGGAAAACTAAGCAACGCAGTTCAAGAGGCAAGAACTGCGCCGTTTTCGAACTGTCTAAGCCCTCGCTCCTCTCCTGCTAACGTGGTCGCAGTAACTGTTGAAGGTTATCGTACTTTCGCCCTTGTCGACACTGGCGCCGCTGTTTCTGTTATTGCCGCTAATCTCTGCCGTTTATTACGCAAAATAACGACGCCGCTTTCGGGACTGTCGCTTCACACCGCAAGCGCACAACAAGTAACGCCTCTCGCAGCCTGCACTGCAAGAGTCTCCATAGAAGGCATTCTTTACATCGTGGAGTTTATTGTTCTTCCTGTCTGTTCGCATGACGTCATCCTCGGGTGGGACTTCCTATCCCGCCATAATGCCGTCATAGACTGCGCACGCGCCGAAGTTGAGTTTTCACCCTTGTGTGATGTCCCATTACTGGACGCTTCTCATCAGCCGCCGAAGTTGCTCGTTCATGAAGATACCGATATTCCGCCTGGAAATTTCGCCCTTGTTCCCGTTTCATGCAACGCCTACACTGACGCTACAGTTCTTTTTATGCCTTCCGATATCTTCAAAAGTCGTCGAGCTTTGCCGCTGCCTTTCGCAACAATTGATCTTGCCGCCGGAAGAAGCAACATGTTCGTAAGCAATCCGCTTTCCACACCTGTAACATTGCTTGCGGGGGAATGTCTCGGCCACGTGCAGGATCTCGACCCTTCGTTTTTGTTTGATGTCCCGGACGACTACTGCGACCACCCCAAAGCACTGTCGGCACTCGGGGAGTCGTCCGATGATACGTTTTCCAGCGCCATCGCCGACACTCTCACTCCCACCGAACATGCCGACCTGCTGAATCTTCTGCATGAGTTCAGGAGTTCGTTCGATGTGTCGCAACCTCAACTGGGCCGCACATCACAAGTCAAACATCATGTTGACACCGGCCTACACCAGCCACTGTGTCAAAGACCATACCGTGTCTCCGCTGAAGAGCGCCGCGTCATCAACGATCAAGTTGAAGATATGCTTCGTAGAGACGTCATTCGACCATCCCACAGTCCCTGGGCGTGTCCCGTCGTCCTGGTGCGTAAAAAAGACGGATCTATCCGATTTTGCGTGGACTATCGTCATTTGAATAAGATAACCCGCAAGGACGTCTATCCTTTGCCGCGCATTGATGACGCCATTGACACCCTTCACGGAGCGGAATTTTTCTCGTCACTAGATTTGCGGTCTGGCTACTGGCAGGTCCCAATGGCAGAAGCCGATTGCCAAAAAACGGCATTTATTACACCAGACGGACTATATGAATTTAACGTCATGCCCTTTGGGCTTTGTAACGCGCCTGCCACGTTTGAACGTCTTATGGATAATACGCTACGTGGCCTCAAATGGAATATGTGCCTCTGTTACCTCGACGATGTCGTGGTTTTCTCCCACGACTTTCCTACGCACGTCCTTCGCCTCAGGCACGTTTTGAGCTGTCTGACCAACGCTGGTCTGCAGCTTAACCTGAAAAAATGCCGCTTCGCTGCACGCGAGCTCGTCATCCTAGGTCACATCGTGTCCAAGCACGGCGTATTACCAGACCCAGCAAAACTTCGAGCAGTCGCAGAATTTCCCAAGCCGACGACCATGAAAGAACTTCGCAGCTTTGTAGGCCTATGCTCCTATTTCCGGCGCTTTGTTCGAAATTTTGCATCTATCATGTCACCGTTAACCCAGCTTCTTCGCGGTGACGTGAACCTCACCTCCTGGTCCCCTGCATGTGACGTTGCCTTCACTACTCTGCGCCGTCTGCTCACTTCCCCACCTATTCTTCGCCACTTCGACCCGACGGCTCCTACCGAAGTGCACACCGACGCCAGCGGCGTCGGGCTAGGCGCGGTCCTCGCTCAACGAAAGCCCGGCTATTCAGAATACGTTGTAGCCTACGCTAGCCGCACTCTGACGAAAGCCGAAACTAATTACAGCGTGACAGAAAAAGAGTGTTTGGCTCTGGTGTGGGCGCTTGCAAAGTTCCGGCCGTACTTATACGGCCGCCCGTTCGATCTAGTAACTGATCACCACGCGCTTTGCTGGCTCTCCACGTTGAAAGACCCTTCTGGCCGCCTTGCGCGATGGGCACTCCGCATCCAGGAGTACGACATTCGCGTCGTATACCGCTGCGGACGCAAACACTCTGACGCTGATGCCCTGTCTCGCTCACCTTTACCACCAGATCAGACGTGCGGAAACACTTGCCTCCAGACCTTGTCATCGCTAAATCTCGACTCGATTGCCACCGAACAACGTCGTGACCCGTGGATCGCCTCTCTTATCGAATATTTATCTGGCACGCCCAACCTTCCAGTATCTCGATCCCTCCGACTTCAAGCTTTCCATTTCGCCATCCGCGATCAACTTCTTCATCGACGCAACTACGCTCCCGATGGCCGCCGGTGGTTGCTGGTCATTCCACGCACTTTACGATCGCAAGTATGCGCCTCCCTTCACGACGATCCACAATGTGGCCACGCCGGAGTGTTCAAAACATATGAACGCCTTCGCCATCGCTATTACTGGCGCGGCATGTACAATTTTGTACGTAAATTTGTGCAGTGCTGTCCTGACTGCCAGCGACGTAAATCAACACTGCCACGTGCGACTGGCGCATTGCAGCCACTTCCATGCCCTGCCAAGCCATTTGATCGCGTCGGCGTTGATCTCTACGGTCCCCTTCCATTGACACCAGACGATAATCGGTGGATTATAGTGGCGGTTGACCACATGACACGCTACGCCGAAACAGCCGCTTTGCCGAGCGCTACAGCTCAGGATGTCGCCTCTTTCATTTTGCAACGCTTTATCCTTCGACATGGTGCACCTCGAGAGCTCCTTAGTGACAGAGGCCGCGCTTTCCTTTCCGAGGTCGTCGAAACTCTGCTTTCGGAATGCCACGTCATTCATCGGAAAACGACAGCATACCACCCGCAGACTAACGGACTAACGGAACGGTTCAACCGCACGCTAGGTGATTTGCTCTCAATGTACGTGGCATCTGATCATAGCAACTGGGACCGTGTTCTCCCATACGTCACGTTCGCATATAACACCGCAATACAAACCACCACGGGATTCTCACCTTTCTTTCTTCTTTACGGACGTGAGCCTTCCCATACAATTGATACCATACTTCCTTACCGTCCTGATGCTTCCGAGTGTCCACCTATCTCCGATGCTGCTAGACAAGCCGAAGAGTGCCGCCAGCTCGCCCGTGCGTTCACCTCGGAAGAGCAACAACGCCAGAAAGAAACCCGTAGCACCTCTCTTCCGGATCCCAGCTACGCCCCAGGGTCTCTTGTGTGGCTTGCCATCCCATACCAAACACCGGGACTCTCCTCGAAACTTGTCCCCCGGTACGAGGGGCCTTGCACCGTTTTGGAGAAAACCTCTCCGGTTAATTTCCTAATTGAACCAGTTTCCCGATCGGACGACATGCGCTGGCGTGCACGTGAGATCGTGCATGTTTCCCGACTGAAACCGTACCATGAGCCTTTGCCTGAAACTTCTTAAGTCGCCAGGATGGCTCCTTTTTTCAGCGGGGGCGATTGTGAAGAAGAAGATGTGCCTGCAGCGAGCAGCATCGCCAACGCCCGGCTCTCTCGGCTCGTGCTTCGGTTCGTTGCTGTGCCGATCGCTGGACGGTTCATCACGCTGTCTCGTCGCTGCCTTTAACGGCTAATAAATCTCTTCACAATATATATATATATATATATATATAATATATCAAAATTTCACTTGTGATAAATGTATTTTTTCAATGAATATCAATTGTAAAATAGAACAAAACGCCAAGAAACCGAATTCTTGCGGCGAGTCATGACAACAATGAAAATGCCTCCTCGTATAACTTCAAAGTTCACACTGGTGCAAAGTCATTAGGTCACCCTTTTTTAACTGACCTTGGCCATCATGTAACTTCTCTGTTAATAATCCTAAATGGTCCTAAATAAAGAGAATATTCAGTGAAATGGTGCACAAATGTTGGTACAAACTACACCTTCATATTTTCGGGTTTTTCAGACTGCACAGAAGACATATGCCGTGAGTACTGTAAAAAAGCACTGCCGAATGGAAAGCTTAAAACTTCCATGTGCATAAACAACTACTGTTACTGCAATAAAACAGAAGGTACGTATTTAAGCTGCCTGCACAAGACAACCTTCCAAATTACCAATCCTAACACATGAAGGTTCTTCAGACTTTGTCACTGTCGCTTGTCTATTTACAAGAACATTGTCATTTATCATAAATATCTGACCCCATAAACTTCTCAGGGGTTATAGCTAGAGACCTTGTGCTGACATGCAAAATATATTGTTTTTAAGTGGGTATGATGACATAAAATCAACATCAAAGTTATTTTTGAAGAACTGACGGCCTTTGCTCTACCCGAAAAGAAATTCGTGAAGTGTCTACAACTTGAACAGTGTTATGTAAAAGTGTTACCAACACAGGCCACTGTGAACATGCTCACTTTAAAAAGAATGATGCAAGTCATATAATGTGCGGCAAAAAGTTTCGCAGTTTAGCAGCTGCATACAAACGGAAACACAACCTACAGTTTGTTTTGTTTTGCATGGCGGTAAACATTCGGGAACGTGAACCAAGAAAAAAATTTAATCGCAAAGTAACGTGAAACACATTTAACGCTGACATTTCGGAATCAGCCCGGTTATTTCCTCACAGGGAAACGTGGCTCTGTTTCAGGAGTGTCTCGTAGCGATTTGCGCAGTGGTTACAGACCCAACACTTTGATGTGTAGCTAAACATTTCTTTCCTAAATATATTTTGTTGTTCAGCATCTGCAATCCTATAAAGAACATATTTATACAGTGTAATCGGTATTTTGAACATCTGTATATTGCAAAAAAACTGTGGAAAACAATAAGTCTTGGAAATCAAACACAAAATGCACATCAAAAAAGTTGTGCCATTCGGGTAATTTAGTATTATTATTACCAATAGTGAATTTTACAAAATCTTGTCAGTAGTTGAAATCATTTTTTACGTGACAGTAACAGCATGATAGCATATGTTTATTGGAGGGACAACTATTCAACAAAAAGCGCCATTTCTCATGTAATAAAAAAAAAACTTGCACTTATGTCTCAATGGCGAAAAATCACGAAAACGTGCACTTTTGTGACGTGTGCGTGACTCCGAAAAAAATTATTATAATGTTGTTTTTAACACCGACATTACCAAAAGAATCAATCTGTTTTCTTCCTGAGAAAAGGTCTGGTGTCTGTACATCGTAAAAAGCATAGTACACATCCAGACAATTGCCAGCAATAAACACTTTTGTCATTAGGTGCGAGTGTGTAAACAATAAAAGCTTACTGTCTTTGTCTAAGATGTAATGCGCAATCTTAGCATGATTTCGGACATTTATTCATAGCAATTTCCAGCTTTTAGCTGATAAATCGTTGAATTCATTGGACGACAGTGGGACTGCCCAGATGTACTCAATTATCTCTGACTCCTCATATGTACTTTGTTAATTATAAGGTGCGAAAACCTCTTTTTGCAGCGCTCGGTTATTATTAAATGACTGCTCAGTATCTTTATGTCTGTAGTTTTCAATTATTAATCTTCCTCTAACCACTTCCAGTGTTTCGAATGTTTCAAAATAAATGGTTTCACGTGCCAGAACCCTGACAGGATCGTTAGGCACTCCATATTTGACGACAATAGATTAGTCCTTTCCATTTGGCGTTTTTCAAAATGCACATATATCCTAGTACGTGGGCATTTTTTCATCGAACTCCAATTGAACGAGTGACCAAAAATTGAATCTGCATCATCATCATTATCATCACCATCGTCATCATCATCATCATCAGCCTGACTACGTCCACTGCAGAACAAAGGCCCCTCCCATGTTCCGCCAGTTGACCTGGTCCTGTGCTTGCTGCTACCAATTTATTCCCGCAAACTTCTTAATCTCATCTGCCCACCTAAACTTCTGTCTCCCCCTAACCCGCTTTCCTTCTCTGGGAATTCATTCAGTTACGCTTAACGACCAGCGGTTATCCTGTATACGCGCTACATGCCCAGCCCATGTCCATTTCTTCTTCTTGATGTCAGCTATGATATCCTTAACCCCCGTTTGTTCCCTAATCCACTCTGCTCTCTTCTTGTCTCTTAAGGTTACACCTACCATTTCTCTTTCCATTGCTCGCTGCGTCGTCCTCAATTTAAGCTGAACCCTCTTTGTAAGTTTCCAGGGTTCTGCTCCGTAGCTAACTACCGGCAAAATACAGCTGTTATATACCTTTCTCTTGAGAGAAAGTGGCAATCTACCTGTCATAATTTGAGAGTGCTTGCCAAATGTGCTCCAGCCCATTCTTATTCTTCTAGTTACTTCAATCTCGTGGTTCGGCTCCGCGGTTATTACCTGCCCTAAGTAGACAGTCTTTTACAACTTGAAGTGCACTATTACCTATCTCGAAGCACTGCTCTTTTCCGAGGGGTTTGTACATTATTTTCGTTTTCTGCAGATTCATTTTATGACCTACCTTTCTGCTCTCCTTGTCTAACTCCGTAATCATGAGTTGCAATTTGTCCCCTGAGTTACTCAGCAATGCAATGTCATCGGCGAAGCGCAGGTTACTAAGGTACTCTACATTAACTCTTATCCCTAACTGTTCCCTTTCTAGGCTTCTGAAAACCTCCTGTAAGCACGCGGTAAATAGCATTGGGGAGATTGCGTCCCCCTGCCTAACACCGTTCTTGATTGGTATTCTGTTGCTTTCTTTATGAAGCACTATAGTAGCAGTTGATCCCCTGTAGATTTCTTCCAGGATGTTTATATATACTTCATCGGCACCCTGATTCCGCTGTGTCTGCATGACGGCTGATATTTCTACTGAATCAAATGCCTTCTCTTAATCTATGAAGGCTATGTATAGTGGTTGCTTATATTCTGAGCATTTCTCTATTACCTGATAGATAGTATGAATGTGGTCGAATGTTGAGTAGCCTGTTCGAAATCCTGCTTGTTCTTTTGGTTGATTGAATTCTAATGTTTTCTTTACTCTGTTAGCAATTACTTTTCTAAATAGCTTGTATACTACAGAGAGCAAGCTAATCGGCCTGTTACACCTTTGTGATTTAACTACCATGGCAGGTGTTTCTATATTTGTTTAATATGCTCACTACTAAACTTTTTTGTTTCGTATGCTCATAATAAACTATTTCTCTTTATGCAAGCAGAAAGCATGAAGAGGTCCGAAATGGGTGAGCTATATTATTTTCGCCTTTTTTGTATTCAAGCTGGACGGGTGAACATGCTGCTACATTCACAATATTGCTCAAACGATACAGTTAGGAAGCACGGCTTTTACTCATGTAAACATTGCACAGAAAAAAAGTCGTGAATGAGCCAAGGTTATTACCAGAATATTCAGAATGGAATGGAATGAAAAAACTTTATTTCAGTCCTGCAGGACGCGCTTAGCGCGTAGCGGGCGTCTCCCACGTAGGGACCGACAGGGAGTACCTGGCGGCCGCTTCGTGGGCCTGCTGGACGGCCCATTGCTGGTCGGCGAGAAGTGAGCTCCTGAGGGACCTCTCCCACTTACTCGCTGGAGGTAGAGTCGGGAGGAGTTGTTCTACACTCCCAGAGCATGTGTTCGAGTGTCGCTGTGTGTCCACATGATGGGCATGTGTGGCTGGGGTATGCATCGGGATAATAAACGTGAAGCATGGCAAGGATTGGGTACGTGTGTGCCTGTAATAGGCGTAGGGTTAATGCCTACGGTCGGTAAAGTTTTGGATGTGGGGGTGGAAAAATGCGGCGTTCAAAGTAAAAGTGCTTTGTAATTTCATTGTACGTAATTGGTGCATCCCGATTGGTATCCAACCCAGCAAGATGAGGTTGCCCTGTGGCAGTGCGGTCGGTAAGTGCGCGCGCTGCATCATGTGCGATCTCGTTGAGGTTGGATAGCGCACCCGGCACCTGGCTGAGATGGGCGGGGAACCAGATGACAGTGTGGTGCTTCAGGGCACTCGGGTCCGCATTGCGCAGGATACGTAACGCCTGGTCGGAGATGACTCCGCGTTCGAAGGCTTTCATGGCCGGCCTGGAGTCGCTGTAGATGAATTCCCGTTTGCTGTCGAGCATAGCTATAGCTATAGCTACTTGCTCCGCTACTTCGGGTTTTCGGGTGAGGATTGTGGCTGAGTTAAAAGTCTGCTGCGCGGATGATACCACGACCGCGGCGAAGGCTTGGTTGTTGCGATAGACAGCGGCGTCCACGAACGAAACGTTGTCCGCTTCCATGTCTATGCGCTTGAGAATGGCGGTCGCCCACGCAAGGTGCCTGCTTCTGTTGTATTCGGGGTGTACATTTCGTGGTATGGGAGCGATCGTGATAAGGTCGCGGATATCACGGGAAATTAGAGTCAAATCTGGGGGGTCCCTGGCCCTCGAGGAGAAGAAGCCAAGCTCGCGCAGAATATGGCGGCCCGCCTTGGTGGTAGTGAGTCGGGTCAATTGCACACGTTCCTGAGCTTCGGCGATCTCTTCTAGCGTGTTATGTACGCCAAGCTCGAGGAGTTTGTACGTTGGAGTGGTGATAGGGAGGCCAAGGGCTCGTTTGACTACCTTGCGAATACGCGCATTGACTTGCTCGCGCTCAGCACGTAGCCACTTGTGTATAGCGGCAACGTAGGTAAAATGGCACAGAACAAACACGTGTACGAGACGCAGCAGGTTGTCTTCTTTGAGGTCATGGTGCCTGTTGGCTACTCTACGTACGAGTCGTATGGCATTCTCACTCTTAGTCCTGAGCTTGTGTACTGTTTGGGTGTTGGTTCCGCGGGACTCGATGATCATGCCGAGGACCTTGATGGTGTCTATCCTGGGTATAGTACGACCATCTCTGGTGTGGAGGGTTATATTGCATTCCGCCGAAGGTTTCCACCCTTTGGGCTCGGCACCCCGGCGTTTGGGCAAATATATCAACAGCTCCGACTTCGCAGGTGAGCACCTGAGACCGGTGTGGCCGAGGTAAGCCTCGGTGGTGTCGATAGCCTCTTGCAGGGCGGACTCAATGAAGCCATCCGACCCTGTGGAGCACCATATGGTTACATCTTTCGCATAGATAATGTGATTCAGCCCGTCGATTTTTGAAAGTCGTTCGGGAAGCCCGATCATCACGAGGTTGAAGAGCGTGGGTGAGAGGACGGATTCCTGAGGAGTGCCCCGCTGTCCGAGCTCCACTTCTTCCGACAGTAGGTGTCCTACGCGGAGGACGGCTCTGCGTCGAGTGAGAAAAGAGCGGATAAAGTAGTAAAATCGATGACGTAGGCCGAGGGCTGCGATCGCTTTCAAGATTGATGAGTGCGTTATTGTATCGAAGGCCTTTTATAAATCGACACCGAGTATTGCACGAGTGTCCCGAGTGTTTCCGCCATCTAGAATTTGATGCTTTAGGAGTAACATGGCGTCTTGAGTAGATAACACTGGTCGGAAGCCAATCATGTGGTGCGGGATGCAGTCATTATCTTCGACGTATCGACCAACCCTGTTGAGGACGACGTGCTCAGCCACTTTGCCCACGCACGACGTGAGAGATATGGGGCGTAGGTTATCTAGGCTCGGTGCCTATCCCGGTTTGGGTATGAGAACCGTGTGAGCTAGTTTCCAAGCATCGGGTATCTCACCCTTTTTCAATATCTTTTATATCTTGTTGATAGTGTCAGTGAGGTAAGTGACGGAGGAATCGTCCAGGTTGCGTAGGACCTTGTTGGTGATGCCATCGGGGCCAGGGGCTGAGCGGCCATTGAGCTCATGGAGAGCTCGGCGCACATCTTCAATGGAGAAGTCGGCGTCTAAGTTAGTGTTGTCGCTGCCAGAGTAATCAGAGTGAGGGGTCACAGGGCCCGTGGGAAGCGGGAGATGCATATTCAGAAAATAGATAGTTTTTTGAGCAAAAAAGTTAATGCCAGCACCTTTAAGCACTATGAAACTTCGTAATTTCCACTGCAAGGCTGTGTAATTTTGAGATTTACAGCAAAAACTATGCTTATTCATGGGGATACGAACAAGTTAGTGAACAATCATTTTTCTTTAGTCTTGTAATAAAAGGCAATACATTCGCATACCGCAGCGAGTACTACAGTCGTTCTTTTTTGCCTTATAAAATTCACGTGCGTCCACTATACAGTGATCTTGAATTTATTTTTACTTTTACCTGTACCTGAGATCATCAGCAAATATTCATTCGACAAAGTTTTCAGCATAACAGAAAAAAATACTACGACTAAAAGGTTTTTCATACATTCTCACAATACACACGCTTTCTAGATTAAACTTCCTGCAAATTATCGTGAACACAAAAGTTTCGTGCCTCTTTGTGTAGCAAATATGGACGATACAACAAATTACGAGCAAACAACATTAGAACCGCCTCTTATCCTGTTTTTCATGAGAACTCGTAATATACAACTAGGAAGAAACCAGAGTTTTTTAATCATACCAGTTGCGAAATGGCGTTCCGAAATCTAAACACGCAGTCGGCTCGATTTTTCGGATGTTAGCCGACTGTCACGCCACCTGGGATTAACAATACAAAATACAAATAATGCGTTTAAGAGTTGGCGAGCAGATCAACAGGTGGCTGGGGGGGCGGTGACAATGACGTGTTCAGATTTCGAAACATGAAGCGAGCCTATGGGGAGTTTCGCGACTAGTATGATTAAATACCTCTAGGAAAAGACTGGCCAGAGTGCTGGTCTCTTCTGTCTATTCCCTGTATTTTTTCACTCAGTTTTTTTGCTATGACTGTGTACCAGCAAGCTCAAATTCACGCGCTACTCGTAAATTAGTACGCTGCTCAGCAATGCCCAATGGTAAACCTGCGTTTCAATGTGTTTTTGTTTGCGAATCACAGAATGCAACTACAAAGCGTGTTTGAATGAGTGCAAACATAAAGGTCCTCATAAAGTACTTCTGCAAGCCAGATGCAACAGTCACAATGAATGCGACTGCGTGTACGAAGAGGGTGAGTACAGCTAAAGAATGGTGCTCTTAATGAACGTACACTCGGCGGACAAGACTATAAACCCAACTGTATGTTTATTAGAGAACGAAACGCGTGGTCCACGAAAAATGCGTAATAAGATGATGCTTACTGTAACACTGCAAGAGGCAAGATGCTGCCACAAATATTTCACCAGAAAATATAAGACTTGAGAAGCACTGCTTAGAGCGGCAGCTTTGATTAAACTCTTTACACGTGAATCATGATGAACTTTCTGTACATGTGTCAAATTTACATAACGTTCTGCCAATGCAGTCGGCAAACTATTGCGATATATAGACGGTGATAGTATGTTGAGTTTTGCATTTTTGAACCGTTACCTTAATTGGTGTTAAGTCTGAAAATTATCACTCAGAATACAGTCAAGTTCTGTGCTTGAATATGAATAATGACCTCTCAGGCTGGAAACCCTCGACAATGTGCTGTCCGCTATAGTGAATGGAACATAAAGGTACTGGGAAAAGTATGTTCAGTTTGACAGGAATTTCGTTTACTGAGAGATAAACTTGAGCGCAGATTAGCAGGCCAAAGTAAAACATATCAGAGGCAATTGTCCCATTTAAGCTGTAGCTCCGTTTAACAGATTTCCATTTATTAAGACTCTACTGTATATCTAATTCTGACCAGACAAAAATTGATGCTTTAGAATGGCTCTCAAATAATTTTTGGTGTTTTACACCACAAAACTACGATATAGTTTTGAGAGACGCCGCAGTGAAGGGCTACGGAATTTTCCGGCCACTCTGGGTTTTTTAAATCTAAGCACGCACACAGTTGGCATTTTGCCGCCATCATTACGCTGCCGCCACTGCTAAGATTTGATCCCGTTACCATCGGTTGAGCAGTGGAGCTCCATGACCACAACACCACTACAGAGGGGTACGCATAAGTTCCTTCAACCTGTTACATCGAATCGCCTGTCTAAGATCGTAGAGCCTTCGCCAAGGTGATCACACGGCAGCAATATAGAGGACCATGAAATCAGCCGTGTGCCAAACTCGGGAACCGCGCACAAATGTGTAAGTCATGTTTCAAGCTGGCTGAAGAAACCTGTGGTGCGTGACAATCATCTGGAGTTGAGTACGATTCCACGCGCAGCTGGTTAAAGTGGCCCTGAAACACTTTATGAGTAACCATGGAATTAACTCACTTGAAGAGCTTATTGCCTCACAAATTCAACGCCACAAAAAGCTTAAGAATCCATTCAATACGAGCGGAGTTACAAGAATTTGTCACATGCTGCAATTGCATTCTCTCTTCTCTCGTCCCTACACAAGCAGTGGAAACTAAGCTGGGAGGGTGGGAGGGACAAACAAAAATGGTCATGAGCGCCTAGTGACCTCGAGCACTTCTTTTTTTTTCTTCGAATACACGGCTTTTTCAGTGTGATCGTGCACGCACTCGTGGACAAGTGAAGGCCTCCCGTGGAAATATCAGTAACGGCCGAGCGCACCAGGTTCAAATCAGCCAATGGCTGATATATGGATTAGAAACACATGTGGTTTCTGAGTGTCTTCTGTCATTTGTTGAGGAAAGAGAAAGCAATTTTAGCTTTGATACTTTATTGTGAATTTCAGGCCGCGTGCTGCGCTATAACATTTGGCTCGCAAGTTCTCAAGAGCGTCTACTACCGAACGGCAGCGTTTTCTGACCATGCTAAAAAAGTGTTGCAGGGCCCCTTTAAGGGATTTTGTTCCCTGCATGTACAGGTCAACCACTTTCTGCGACTGCCGTCACAACGGGAAGCAATCACACTTTGTCCTTCTCACGAGAAATATGAAGTTCTTGTTAATGCAATTTTAAAATATCTTCAGATGTGCAGTAAACCATCATACTGCATATATTCAGCTGACATACAAGCACATTACCTGACAACATTGGACACCAAATGCATGCTGACTAGGAAAATATTTAAATATTTATTGTACCATCACAAGTAATAATATTACAGGTGGCAGTATGTGATTGGGAAAAAACTAAATGCACACAACATGCTAGCTTACTGATTATGACTATAAAGATACAACATAAATTCTTTACGAGTAGCTTAAAAACAAACAGTAATCTAAACAACTTGTGTAATATTCTTTTACGTCTTTCAGATGAAGATGCTCGCAGTGTTTTCGACTTCCTCAAAGTATGGAATTCATTTAAGCGTAAGTTGTGGTACATAGTCATAATATACTGCGCAGTTGTGATTTCATAGTTGAGAGCAATAGATTAATAATCACCATCTAAGGTCCTTTAATGTGCACCCCAATATAAGAACGTCGACATTTTTTCTTCTTCATTTTTCTCCAATCGTATGCAGAAATCCAACTGGCGTCCTCAACTTAGCAGCGAGACACCTTAGCCATTACACCACTACAGCCAGTGTTCTTGTATTCGTGTTTTAAGCTTATGATTAAATCGAACTTTGTTTTATGTACTAATGATGAACTCTTTCTGTTTGCACATGCAGAAAGAAATGAGAGGTCAGAAATGGGTGAGCTATATCGTTTATGTTTACCTGTTTTTAAGTTTAAAAGCCACATAGATGAGCATGAAAGTACATTTCCAACACTGCACAGACAACACAGTTTGTGAGCACTAGTTTCTTTTATTTAAACATTGCATAGAAAACACCGTGATTGAAACAAGGTCATAGGCAGCATATTGACATAATAATATGAGATTCCACGCTGAAGAAGCAAGACGAACACCAAGGAAGATTTAGATTTTGGGTGTGGGGCGCGCTCTCTTTTTCGTCGTGGCTTACGCTTGGGCATAATGTAAATATGTCGTAAATACGCCTTGGTACCCCCGTGTGCCTACACATAATATATAGCTATCAAGC